TGTCAGTCACAGTTCAGCATACAAATCCTGGTGACTCTTCCCTCACTCGTTTAGCCAATCAGGAGTCCGTCGGTCTTCCGCGCCCGGTGCTGCCATCATCTCACGCAAGGCTAGTCCGTCCAAGGAAAAACGGACACGCGCTTCGCGCAGCCTGCACTGAAATCACTTTGCTAAAAATGAACAGAGTTGGGCAGCTCAGAACGTAGCCGTCCTCGCTTTGGCTGTCTGAGATGCGTGGATGGCCCTGTGCAGGCACCGAAAGAAGTGACTGCTAAAAGCTGCCTGGATAACTTCCAAAGCATCTCAGGCTATAAAAGCCTCATGCTGTCTTTGAATGCTTGCAGCTGGTCGAAGACTTGATGCTTGGCACACAGCTGGAACACACAATTGCCTGAACATGGTCTTCCACTGGTTCTTCCACTGGGTCCGTGGTCGATGGCCTTGGGACTTTCACGGCGCCTTCAAGTAGTGCAGGACTATGCTCTGGCCTACTTTGCTTGACAGACTGGAGCTCTGAGAAGTGCCATATCACCCTGAGACAAGCTCGAGGAACAAGTTGCAGATTTCCCATGATCTTTCTGCTCGTCTGTCGGGTCTGGCCCATCTGGCAGTCTAGCAAACCACAGCACGCCCGGTCTCACGAGGGCTGCTGTGTCGCACATCGCAGCATTGTTACAAACCCCGGACTTGAAATCCCAGCACTTCGAGCTGCAGACGGCCAGATCCCGCCAAACTCTCCTGTCAGTTCAAAACAGCGGATACTGGCTGGCAAGGTGAGACCTCTGACTGAGCCCCGCATGAACCCACGCTGCGCCCCGCACTCTGCTTGGTTGCACACGCAGGAATCCGCTTGACGCCAGCAAGCTCGGGGAGTCTTGCCGCAAGTAGATTGGAAAAAGGCACATGCCCGCCTGACGCTGCCGGTCGACGTCATCGAAGAAGCTGGGAAGAGTGTAACTACCGGGAGGTGGCGCCCTGGCGGCCAGCCTGCAAGGCCAGGCTTGCAGAGCGTGAAAACCAGAAAGAGGGCTTAGGGTTTGGAAAACCCTAAACCTCCCAGAAGACCCTACCAGTACTTACTGCAGCTGCGCTGTCTTGATTGCAGTACTTCGGACAACACAAGCGAGCTCAAATCCATTCCCAGCCTTCGCTCTCTCACAGCCTCCTGGGGGTCCTTAGGCACAGCAGAAAATGCCTGCACTTCCGGCTTTCTGCTGCTGGTGCAATATTCGGCGACGCACGGGCTTGTCTTACACATGAATCCGGTAAACCGTCTAATTAGGCTCCGTTGTGCTCGCTTTAGACCTAAGGCCTAAGGCACAATCCGTCTCTCCCCAAGCACCTAACGAGGACTGTCAAGGATTTGTGCGCAGGGAACATCAGTGCCAAGCCGCGAAAATCCTGAAAACTGGAAGCCTCTTTAACAGTTCGGACCAACTTGTGTGTTTCGTTTCACTTGAACGCAGAGCGGACGGAACAGCAGTGCATTGCACATGCGAGCTGATTCTTGCCAGCGAATGTGAACGATGCAGTGATCCTTGTATGCTGTGTTGCAGCTGGCAGTAGGCAGTAGGCAGGCGGCTATCCACTCACGAGTTTGATGAAGAAATTGAGTTCGCATGCGTTGCAATACACATGTAAGCCTGCGCTTGTCGACGCGTGGCAAAGCTCGTTGGCAAAGCTCGTTTCTCAATGTAAGAAACAATAACGACCCTGAAAAGTGTGTACCCTCCTAATTACAGTACAAACTCGTTGATGTTTGTGTGCCTCCACCAACGATTCGGAAAAGAAGCCTGCCAAGAACACGACACAGTCGTAGAAGATGCTGCTGTCTTCAGTTGTGCAGATGTACGCTGCGTCTGTACTGCCGAACGACGGCGGCTCTGCTGCTTGTTGATCCGACCGGGGGCCGTGGAGGGGGGGGGGAGATTGGAGGAACCCCATCAGAGAGCAGCCTCTCAAATTGAAAAAAAAACACCCCCTGCTGACGCTCAGACTTAGACCCCTATGCCCCAATATGTCAGGAGCAAGGCCCCTAAGCTCTCTTTTGACCCAAATGACAAATCTCTAAACAACAGCTCCCGGAAGGTCCAACGAAGTTGCGGTGGAAGTCTAAGCTTTCCCACTCCACGGGCCATGGACCAAGCCGTCGAGGAAGGCAGCTGCCTGGAAGGCTGACTCGACTCGGCTCATGGCGATTCGGGCAATTCCAAGCGGGCGAGGGCCCTTGAAAATTGTTGGTTTAGGGCTTACCTGTACTATCTTGGGGGTTCATGATTATAGTAGACATATTAATATGGTATGATATACCCTGCTCCAGCAGGCAACGTGCGCACGCCTCGTTCTACCTACGAGTAACTTCACAAGCGATCGCCGTCTGTGTCAGTGCGCAAAAGGCTTTTCCTTGTGATCTTCGGCAACTTCCAGGCTGAGTCATACAAGAAGGGCCAAAGGAACACCAGCTCAAACAAGCTTACAAGAGACGACTTGTCACGAAAAGCTGGGGCGTCCACACTCGCTTGTGTGCCGCAACTCCGTCCGGAAGCGGGTACTGACCGGGGCCTTGAGATCACGGGTCCAAGGCTAAGGCCGTATGAGCAACAGGTTTTGCGAGCTTCCGAAATTAGGGGTACCTTATGTTGGGGTCCTTATAAGACAGATCCTATTTAGGGTACTGTAAGAGGGTCCCCTACTTTCAGAAACCCCCTCTTCACACCCTCAGATCCAAGCCAGTATCGAGATCCCTGTCGACGGCACCTGTCAGTCGGTTCTTGTCGCAATACTCGGCGGAAAAGACGAAGAAGGAGAGCTTAGACCCAGGTAGGCTGCAGGCCATGGCCCGAATATGGAACTGAGCAGCCCGAAGAAAACATAACATGCCGGTGGCGCCCACGATGCCCTTCATGACGCCCGTGCGCTTGTGGGTGCGGGACTGATGCAGATTCAACTTCGCCGAAACGGTGAGACTCTCACACACCGGTGCTTCGCAAAGATTCGACTTCATCGAAGGGAAGAGCGACTGTGCAGTCTTGTTTGGCTGACTGTCTGTCCACAACGTGCATCTCAAGGCTATCTGCTACATTGATCCCTTCTTGCGCATCGCCGGGGCCTCGTTGGCGAAAGTAAAAGTCGGCGCGGAGAGTGCAGCGCTGAGTTTCCTTGCAAATCTACAGGTCATGGGTTGGTCAGAAGCCCCTGCGGCTGCATGGAGCTGTCGGCAATCATAGAATGAGATCTGGGGCCAGATCCCCTTCCGCACTTCTGCAGTCGGGTCGACGACAAAGTCACCTGCGAAAGCAATGAACGGGCGGTGGAAGAGAGCGAGACAGAGTGCTGCTTGGTTGCGATCAATCTTGTACTGCCCGGGCTCCAAATGCCTGGTGCGAAGACTTCAAGCTCTCTCACGCCTCGTCTTCTGAAGAGCCTAGCTTACTAACAGCTTCTGAGCTTCTGCTTGCATCAACCTGGGTTTATCTTCAGCTGATTAACATGCCAGCAGATCTGGGCTGCGGTTGCCCCGACTTTGTCGGAGAACCATGTCTCGTTCCAGCCTCCAGCGCTGAAGCTGCGGCGGCGTGACTTGAACAACTGTGGTCACTGCGTGCCCATCTTGGCAATCAAGATGCTCTGCGATGTTTGCCCTTCCCTCGTTGGGGGGTTCCGAAAATCGCGGACCCTAAATTTAGTACCGTAGATGGTAGGATCCTTATTATTAGGACCCCCAAATAATGGACCCCAAATTTTCGGAAACTCCGGCTGGATGTGACTACGATGTTGCACCAAGACCAAGGCTAATGGTCCATTCCGGCGACTTGCGCTTGTCTCCCAACTTGTCCAAGTACCTGCGGCGGAACCACAGGTGACTCTTAATAATAGTAATAACAATAATACTAATAATAATAATAATAGTAGCCATAATTGATAGTAATAATAGTGACAATATAATCTAATACTAATGGTAATAATAGCCCCGAAGACTTTCTCTGTGACAGACGGCGGACGCTCGCAGCTCGAGCAGATCCGGATCCTTCGAGTTCAGCATGGCTCGGAGAGTGAAGTGTCTAGGATTCACAGCTGAACATGAGGCCGTCTGCGAAAATGTCTCAGCTTGTTCTGCAAGAGGAATAGCATGCTTTCTTGCAGTTTCCTAACTCAAGAGAGACTCCTGAGAACATTTCACATTCCCTGTAACCAGGACCTACCGGCTACCGTGGTTTGGACCGAAAGCGGCACTGTGCAGCCAAGTATGTCTCCCTGAGTGACATCGGGCAGGGAGGGTGCAGATTGTGGCCCTTCGTCCGGCTGGCCGTTCTCGATCTTTAACAGGACCAGCGATTGCATGTTTGGACATTGGACACCCGACATGATGGCACAGCTTGTCTTCGCAGCATGAGTCAGTTTGTCACTGTTTGGGCCCTTCAACAGAGTTGAATGCTTTCTTGCTTGCGGCCCTACAGAGCTCGTCGCGATCCAATCAGGCAGTTCCGTGCAAGAAACCATCGTGTAAGCCTCACGGCCTGCATGTTAGGATGTTGGCGCTGAGGCACGGATTCTATCATGTCTTGTGATATCTGGTTACATGAGCCCAGAAGACGATGTGTTGAGAAAGCTTTTACGGCCATCGCAGAACTCGGAGAAATCACAGGTCTTCAAACAAACTACGGTCATCTAAGATGAGGCGGCTGACTTTCTCGAAAGTATCAGATCTGCTGCTCGACAGCAGACTTCAAACACATGTTACGTAATGCAAAGGATATGCTGCATTGTCAAGGGCAAGCTCTTGTGCGACCAGGCCCTCACTTGCTTGGCGCTTCTTGCCGATCCTGCGCCTTTAAACCATCATCCTTTGAGTGTGCTACGGCTTTTGTGGGGCTGTACGCTGCTATCGGCAAGCAAACATGCAAACTGATGACTTCAGACTCTCACCCCCTGGTGGGAAACCGAGGTGCGTCGTCGCACCTTGTCTGCATCCCGGAGTCACCGGTGAAGGCCTGCTCTTGTCAAAGTCTGGGACGGATCGTATCGTAAAGCAGCAGCTGCACCGTAACGATTAGGGTCATCTGGAAGATGCGAGTTTGCCATCCAGAGAACAAACCTGCAATGCCCAGCCGATTCGTTGCGTCTCTCATTTGCTTCCAGACACTTGGTGGCTCGTCATCCCAGAACGAGTCGCCGTCCATGGGGACAGGGCACTCGCCTGATCCTCCCTCTACAGAAATACAAGTGAATACTGTGTCTGCAGGCTGGGACGCGAGTGTCGCTGCCGTTGCTGCACCAAAGGCTGCTAAGACTCTGGCAAGCACTGGGTTCACAAAGAGGCTGCAGAAATCGGACATCACGTCGTAGGTGACCAGCTTTGCAACTGTGTATGAACACTGCTTCATCAACAATGGCACCAATGCCCCAAACCAGCCCTTCCACACACCCTGATCGCTGCGAAGCTGTTGTAGTGCCAGCCATGTATTCAGGCCAAACATTGTCAGAATCCTTGGCTGTGATACGTGTGCCATATTCGGAGCATGCCATGAGGCTGCTTATCCCACCGGTAACACCCCGGAGAGCATGTCATTGAGATTGGGAGCACCGGGGATGCTACTTCCTAGTGCGATTAATGGACCCATGACGAAGCAGCCTTCTGATTTTTCCCACTGCCCCTTGTGCGGCTGAGGTTCTGATGGATTCCATGCATGCCTCTCTTCTGCTGCTTACAGAAGCGTTCGTAGGCCTGTCTAGTTGGCTCCATGAACGATGGATCTGCAACAAGCATTATTCTAGCCGCCTCAGCCGGACATAATACGACAGTTGCCAGCATCTCGGCTAGAAGAGCGCATATGCACAGCAAGCTGATGTGCCCGGCCACGGAGACAACCTGATGAATCCGAAAGATGGATTTCCAAATCTCGAAGAGGCCATACTTAAAAGCTCCGTGCAGGAAGTATCCAGTAAACGTCGCCCCAACTCCACTGAGGAGTTTCTGCGGTCCATGTGACTTCACGAGCTTCATCCCCATGTTCAGCATGCCCGGACATCGACCCTCCCTCTCTTCGGTCGCCTGCTGGGACGTCTTGATGACGTCAATCGGTGTCGCCAGTACATGCGAGAAGCTCGAGCAAAGGCCACCAGCTACAAAGAAGCCGAAGGGGCCCAAGGTCGCCAGCAAACTGGACGGAGAGAAGGGTAGAGCAGACAGAGCCACCGCTCCCTCGGAGGGCGATCGCCGAAAGGAGGAGGGGCTGTCAGATCTCAGCCTTGGCCGTGGCCTTTGCGGCCTTGGCTGCACCTGGTTTGGGGTTTCTCTTGCCACAAGGCCAGAGACAAATGCTTCATGCATCGAAGATATCGAAGGTACCGAGTGCATGGATGCCACCATCAGCAAGGTGATGGACATCAAATTGCTCGAACGACATCTCTGCAGCGATTTGCCTCGCTGCTTCCGCGCTCGAGCACGACCTGACTTGTGCAGACATCGGCAAGCGGGCTCCTCCCACGCGCCGTCTTGCACGGAGTTGATATCCATGGCTCGGAGCCGCATCTCTGCCTACTCTTAAATACCTGAACTGGCGAGCTGTGCTGCATCTCTGCTAGCGTGGCCGGCAAAAGACAAGACTTATCAGTGTCTGCATCTGGCCAACCTCTCATGCAACAGTCCTCACAGGCGGTACAGTGCTGGAACGCCTCTTGCATAGAGTTGCCCATGCTGGTAAATTTTGCGAAGCTTCTAACGAAAGCTATGGTGGGCCATCGGTTCATGTTAGCTGTGGCTGCCAAAGTGAAACTCACCCTGGCCGCAAGCTCGGAGGACAGCGGCTGCGTGATGGCTGCTGTGTTCATCTTGTCCCACCCAAAAATGATAAAGATTTCCCATTCACAGAGATATTTGCGTCAACGTGCCCCGGTGTTCACGCATGATCAACAGCATAAAGCAATCTAGCTTCTCCGCCACGTTGCTCACATATCAATCGGAGTTGCTTTGGACTGAGTTGTCAAACTGGAAATCTGCTTGCTAAGAAACCACGAGTGCCGGGCTTGCGTGTTTCCACCGGGATGATGGAAACCACCTTAGCTATACGAGGGTACGACCCGAAATCAGAAGCGCTGGCTCCTCGCCGCAAAACATCTCCAGATGGGGCAAGGGCCAGGGCCAGGAAAGCCATTCGTGCCTGCAAGCCAGAGGGATACGTCTGCGCCGCATTTCGAAGCACGCTCAGAGGCAATGCAATTGACAATCACTTGGTCGTGTCTCATGTCTCACGGGCGCATACTATAGGGGCCTAAATAATTTTCTGTGCTATTTTGGGGGCTCCTTACTCTATTTATAGTATAATGAGCCCCAAAACCCTATTCCAATTATTATGGCCCCTACATTATGACCTAGAATCGAAGTGAAGCCTCCACCAACATCGTGGGCGCTGCGTTTTTGAGGATCGGAGAGCGTCTGGCGCCGTGCATGAATCCAAGACAAGTCCAGTTAAACTATGCAAACCATGTTACTGTAATCATGGTGATGAACATGGTATTATGATCTTGTTAACCCTTCTTCGCCGCTGTTGTCGAGGTCGTTGTTGTTGCTGTTACTGCTGAATTTGTTGCTCTTAACTTCTCTTCCTCATCGTACTAGTACTGGTATTTATAAGGGCAGTAGTCTCCTTCCCGATGCAGCAGCTCTTGTAGTGACTAGCACCACCGCTATCGCTGCTCACGTGCGCGAGACCTCGTAGGCATTGGCCACCTCTGTGAAGCGCTTTTGCGCCTGCCCGCCAAGTGGGAGTTTCCGAACATTCGCGGTACCTTATTTGGGGGCCCTTACGATAAGTATCCTACTATTTAGGGTACTATATTGGGGTCCCCTATTTTCGGAAACTCCAAAGTAGAATCTCACTGCAGAGAGGAGTCGAGCCAGTGCCAGCCCCACCAGCAGCTTGGTGTTTCAACAACAACACTGTTACTGTCACGTCATGTTTATCTCATCGGTATTGCTGTCATTGTTATCAGGAGCTGTTTCTGTTTTGTGCCAAAGTGAAAGTAATCCAGGGAACATGGTGCAACTCTGCGCTGCGCCATGCGATAGAGAACAGGCTCCTTCACCTTTTCAACGATGATGTCTGCTCGTGCAAGTACTACATGTGCTACTGCAGGCTCCAAGAACCCACCTCGTCTCGCTTCTCTGGCGGTTGCCTATCAGGATGCCACTTCATGGCCTCAGCCATCGCTTCCAAAAACAGCGCAATGCCTCCTTTGGATAGGATTCCAGCCTCCTTCTTGTAGGCCTTCTTGATCTCCTCCTGTGTGGCGTTTCGGCTGATGCCCAGAATCCTGGGTCGCAGTGGAAGGACAAAACCAACCGAGGAAGCCAGAGACAATTCCCCGGACATGAGAGTGTCGTAGCCTCCTGGTATCCGCTCGGTTCGTGAGTGAGGTGTAACTGTCTACAAGTAGCATCCACTCTGACTTGCAGACGAGGTTCTTATAAGGATCCTCGGCCCTGGAGGAGGACGAGAAGCTCCTCTGTCATTTGAAGGCTTCTGCACCCGCTGCTCCTGCCCAACCTGCCCTGCCTCGAAAAGTCTTTCCAAAGATGTGCAAAAGAGATGCACCGACAGCGATCAAGATCCAGGTGCGCTTGGCTGCAGCACATCCGAAACGCTGGCACCCCGGGGGAACCCCCCCCCTGCGCAAAGCATGATCTCCTGCAGGCACCAAAACCGAGGTGTAGAAGACCGGGAGACGATCCTCAGAGAGGCTTTACATGATGTCGTTGGCAGTGCAATATAGTGCAAACGCACGTGATTAGCATGCTGGAAGATAGCTGCCGAACCGCAGCTTCAAGACTTCTGCAACTACATGTCGGTCCCGCAGACTCCTTCACATCAACCTGTACGATATACCAGAGCCTGATTCTTTTCTGTCCAGCCTCTCAGTCCCCTGCTGCAATCCGCGCCCAATTTGCATCCTGGGATCACCTCTGTAAGTACTCTCCACATTCCGCAAGACTTTGTCCACCTGGCCTACTTGCTCAACCGCACCCATAGGCACACGAAGAAACATGTAGAACGCTGAGACAGCACGGGTGTAGCACGCGGACAGGTTGAGATGCCGGGGTGTGCAGATAGGTACAGATGCAGGTAACTACCGCAATCGTAAAGACATCATGTCATAATGCTTCTCGACAACGTTCACATGGGTCAACGAATGTCAAGGAGATCGAAAGCCGCAAACTGTCGACTCGCAGCCAGAGAACCGTCGTTTGATTATTGGGCAGCCTTACAGGCTAGATGTCACATGCTGCGGCTACCATGCACAATTCATGAAACAAGGGCTTCGGTTCCGCCTGCAAGCTATGGCCATTAACTAGATGAAGTATGACATATGACAAACTGGCACAAATATTGTATCTCATCAACTTATCAGTTTTGTATCCCTACTATGTCTAATTCTTGAACTTTACAACTCATCGCTTATTCTCCGCCCTGGGGTGCAGGCGAACGGGCCGGAAGGTGCGCCTGGCGAGGCGACTTTTGCAAGAACGGGTGTTTTGTAGAGGTTTCCCTTTCCCGGTCATGCAGAGAACGATGCAACTCGTGGGTCCAGCCCCAGGCAGTGCATTAACTGCGATAGGGATAATTGCACTTATCTCGATCCACCTAGCCCGGCTCCTCGGCGTGGAATACGGCTTGCTGCAGCCTGGCTCGCCAGGCGCTGCCATAGCCTGGACTGAACCAGAGGCTTGGAGCGAAAAGTGAATGCATGGCAGCTTGAACATCCGGATTTCGTCGGCCGTGCTTCCTGACTATGAGACAAGCAGAATGCGAAGCAAGTCGGTGCAATCAGGTGGCTTCGGTTCACAAGAAGCTAAGTGCGAGGCATGACACTTGGCGCTCCGCGACCGGCTGCCATGTCCGCCAAGGAAAACTGCACACTGACGCGCTTTGGCGGACGAGGCTTACGGTACCGTGCGGTCGTATGCAGATTCTATACAATGCCAGACTGCAGCTTCGCGCTCAAAGACTTCATGGTTTGTGAAGTCATGCGAATTGCTGATTCTGCCTCCCGGATCCTCAAGTCCAGCTGCAAGTGGTTAGTGCTCAGACAGGACAGGGGAGGGCTCTCTTCCAAAGCATGAGCGGTATCGCGAGGCCCCGATTTTGGCAGCATTTCCGTCGCCCGATACTGTTTGAGAACATTGGCAGCTGCTGATCCTTTGGGCAGACACTCCCGAATTCTAGAAATTTCATAAGTTGGACTTTAGTCCCTGATCGCCATTGGCCCGAATTGGGAACCTTGTGTGACGGTGTTCCCTGGTAGCCGAGACCGATGGAACACAGCTGTGTGGGAGCACAGCAGATCATCGACCCGACGCTGAAAGTCAAGTCGTGCAGATGGCCATTCACACGCCGGGATACCACTCGGCTGTAGAATTTCCGTGCGAGTGATGTGCTACCTGGCGTCAATGCCGTCAGTTGGTCAGCCGATTGCCAAAAAAGCCGTGGAATGAAGGCCGAATAATATTGAGTTTTGCTGACCGGAAGACGAGAGCTTCGTGTTGCGGTCTGCTTGGCAAACCGTCGTTCTGTTCAAGGTCGCGGGGCTAGGTAAGTGAGGGGTGATGGCGGCTTGAATTCATAAGCGCAGCATGACACATTGCGATTCATGCTGGGAAGATCAGATCAAACATTCGTCAATTGCGTGCTGTAGTGATAGGCTGTGTGAGTTAGTGCGAGTCGTGAGCAGTGTTTCCACAGGCCGCGGTTGAGTTCAGGCTTGAAGGTGTGGCAGTAGAGGAGGCGCCATTGGCTTGACCGACGACGGTCCTGCAGCCAAACTCGCAAGATGTGATTGTCGCGAAGTCCCCTCTAAGTGGGATTCGTGGGATTGTCAGTCTGAGTTTAGCGGAAAAGCGCAGCCGATCACAAACCAGTCGACGAGGTCCTTCTACGATCAGCACGTTGGATACACCACCCAAGCTCGAAAGCTGATAACAGCTAGATTCAACCTTCGTGAACCGACATCTCAGATTTTTGAGCTTATCGGGTTAGTGTTGCTAAACCCGACAACTGTTCAAATGTGATTCCAGCCAGCAGCTTCAGATGTCTGGTGTTGCTCGGGGCTGTGGGGTCCCTGATGTTGAGTTGTAATACTCGGCGAGGACGGGCGGTAGATATGCTTCCAGATGCTACGTCCAAGACTTGGGATGCAGAAAATGAGAGGGTCCATTCGTAAGTCAAGTACCAGAGCAAGAAAGCGTCGTGGAGAGCTCTTTGTTGAGATGGCTTCTCCTGGCAGGGACTGGTAGCCAACGTTGTAGATTGCAGCATTCCCAGCATGGCTCGTCTGAACGACGCTTTTGCAGTCTGCTGGCTGCGTGAGTCATGTTTCGTGGTCGATCTGTGATCGTAGTGCAGCGAACAAGGGTGGGGTCCACACTGTCCAGTATCGCTCTGAAGTTTGGAACAGGAAGACTCAAAGGGCGCTTGGCGCTGGGCACACAATTCTTGCCGTCAACATTCATGAATACATGCTGACACTCCGTCGTGGGAGTGCTTCTGGCCGGTTCCGGCCCGTTTACTGGAGTCTCCCAGCCTGCTGTGGATCTGTTTCGAACACATTCATGTAAATTTGATGAGAACGCGAGATGTTCGACTCATGCATGAGACGAAACCCCTGGGTTTGGAATAGCAGCACTGCGCCTTACTCCGGAAGGCACGATGAGAGCGGCGGTAGAACAGACGTCGCACAACCCGGGATGCCAAAGTTTGCATCTGGGAAGCTGATGCATCCAGGGGTGAAGTCCCGCGTTTAAGCCTAATGCTGGTGCTGCCAAGCCCCATGACAAACGATTGCAAGTACGCTGCAAAGACACCTGCGACGGTATCTGTGGAAGAAGAGTGCGTTTATGCTTGAACGTTCGCATTTGCACCGGCTTACCAACAACCTCTTCTTTCTTCCCTAGTGAGCCTCAAGGTGGTGGAAAGTTTTGTGACCCGAGGTTTGCCCCTGTGGCTCTTTGTCAGAGGGACTACAAGGAGGTACTATGCATACTCACATACTCAGCTCAAGTTGAAAAGCTGCTCCTCCGGCTCCACCGACCGCTCTCAAACTCGCAAGGAAGCACCCGTGGGAGTCTCCCAAGTGAAGCCCTCAGAATAATCCGGGGGCTTCTTAGGGTTTAGGGTTTAGGGGGGAAGTGGTTTCAAGCAAAGGGTTCGACAACCTTAAACAACTACCTGAAGGGGCAAATGTAGCTCGATGGCTGTGATTGAATTCCGTCAGGAGGCAATTTGAACAAGCTGCATGCAGCACGGCGCATCTAGCGATGTTTTAACATAATGAGAGATTTGCACATCTTGTCTGCACTCAGCACCACGGTGAACAAACGTACTGTACCTTTTCCAGCTGAATCTTCTGCGACGTAAATGATTTGTGAAACTCTACTGCACATGCTAGCCCGAACGCATCACTGAACTTCCAGGCGGCATGGAACTTCTCATCGCTTCCGCCTGGCAGCACGCCAGTCACGCAGTGATCGAAGCACAATATCCGTGTCTCTCGACTGCCATGCTCTGTCTGGTCCAGAGTTGTTGCACTTTATGCCATAACTAATATGGCCAACGAGCCGTGGGCTCTGTGCTGGGAACAGTGCCGAGCAGACCTAGCTGTTGACAAAGACATGGTGACCGCCAAAGCTGCAGTCAGCAAGGCCACTGCCGTCACGTACCTGCGCGACAATAAACAGCAATAAGCCATCGTCTTACAGAAGCAGAGTACCTACTGAGCTGTGCCAAGGCTGCTGATGGCGCACGGCCAGTGTCCTGACGCTGCTGGTGTCTGCGTGCACCTAGGTGACTGCCCACAGAGAGCTGCTTGCGGCCTTCGAATCGCATAACTACTTGTAGCGTGAAGCTGTCATCTAGTTCTGCCACTACTGCGGAGTGTTGCAAGAGTTGAAGAGCTTTGACTTTCCTGCATCTCAACACAATGAGCGGTCCTGAACAACAGCTTGAAACAGCGGCCGGAGCCTTTGGCTGCGCACATGCACATCGCCGCATCGCTAATTTTGAAGTGCTAGGAATGTGAGCTATTTGGGAATTTCCGAAAATAGGGGACCATAATATAGTACCCTTGATGATAGGATCCTTATTTTTTGGACCCCAAAAGAAGGTAGCCCTAATTCTCGGAAACTCCCATTTTGCCCCTTAGGGGCCCCAAAAGCTGAAAGCTGCCGGTCATGCCGAGTCTTCGACTGAACATACTCCGGCTGTGGAAGGATATAAGCTTTAAGCTGCACCAGAGCTGTGCCTGCACCTGTCAGTCACAACTTTGCCAACTTTTGCTGTTCTATTGCTTTTGTCCTCTTGGGCAGCTATGCTAGATTGGAGGAAAAGACGATGGTAGCGGTAGTAGCACCAGAAGCTATAGATAGCCTGACCCTTAGACCAAGCACATGCTCTGCGACCCAAACCTGCGAGAAGTTGCTTTCGAACGGCGGTCAGAACGGGATGGCTTCAGTGCGTCAGCCCGCATGGCTCCTCACTGAGCCTCAAATCTTCAGACCTGCCATACCTGTACCATGATCGATCTGGCTCTTCCTTGCCGCCCGTGCGAGGTGGAGCTTGTCCTCATCCAAGGTGCCAAGCTTGACAAACAAGGTGTCGAAGTCATCGTCAACCCGATCGCGGCATATCCCCAGGGCATGCCCGATGTGCTCTCGGAGAACCGTGTTAATCTTTTCGAAGCTCTCCATTTCTTGCCTTACATGCCATGGACAAGCCAGCTCTTCGCACATCTTACCTTTGATGAGATATATTAGTATTGACCGGAAGTCATGAGCTGACGCGGTACAGACTCATGCCTGCGATAGCTTGCAGGTATGTGTTCTATCGCAGGTCAAGTTGCAAGACGAGCTGGGTGATCATATTCTTGTCCTGGGGCTGTCGACTTCTACCAACTGAAATCCGAAAGCGCTGCAAGTGCAAGCTGCACAGCATCACAGCGTCCTGTTCCGTGGTGGCTTCTGCATCCTCCAAACTGAGCGTTGACAGGCGCTCTCCAATTTGCATTGACATCTCGACGGTGGAGGCTCCAAAATTCAGGACCTCGGTTCCGTTTGCATGCGCAGCTCAGCCATGGTGGCAGCCTGGCAAGTCTGAGTGCGCGGCACCATTCTCCGTGCAGAACAGCAAACCTTTGAAGCCAACCTGGCCAATGAAACTGGTACTAGTGGAGCAAGAGCGACTCGTCTCGTCAAAAAGGCCTGTGACTGTTCCAGCGTGATGGTCTGCAGCAATTCGAAGAGGCACCATGACCTGCCATGGCGTAAAACATGGGTAAACCGCTGGAAAGGAAAGCTTCCGGCAATGAAGCACAAGTCTGGTGGTGGCAGCTCCGGCGCGCTCGGAATTGGATGTTGTAATGAGCCATGTTAATTCTCCAGAAAATTGTCCCGTGCATCATTGTGCGTCTTGTTTAGCTTCGTGCGTGCATGCACGCTTCTGTAACAAGAGCTGCTCTTCTGTCAGTGAGGTCACAGGTACCCCCAGCATCAACGAGCGAAGACCATTTTAGAGCAGCCCTGCGCGCCTTTCGCGCACGCATGGCATGCATGTGGTGTGCGGGTTGTGTGTGCGCATGTGTGGATATGTGGGGGTGTGGGTGTTTGAGTGCGTGTGTGGGTGGGCTTGGGTGGGCGTGTGTGTGTGTGTGTGTGTGTGAAGTGCGTGCAGTGCGTGTGTGTGTGTGTGTGTGTGTGTGTGTGTGAGTGAGTGCATGTGTGTGTGTGTGTGTGTGAAGTGTGTGCAGTGTGTGCGTGTGTGGCTGTGTGTGGCTGTGTGTGTGTGTGTGTGTGTGTTTGTGTGTGTGTCCACCCCTGTTTCGAAGGGTAGGTAAATCTGAGTCGAATGAGCAGTGGGCCGGTGCTCTCCCTGGGGGTCACCGGCCAACGAAGACACCCCTGGGAGGGGTGAAAACGTACCTGCAAATCAGTAACCCTAGAGTGCGACTTCCTTGAGAGTGAATGCTGAGCTGACTTACCCAGTTGACTTTCTGATCTGATGTGAGACCTGCGACACATTGTGTCAAGTGTGATTCACAACGGCATTCCCCATGGGCGCCGTGTCTCCGAGAGGTTGCTCTGGTGCCTTCCTGTCTGACTTAAAAGCCTTGGATGACTTCACTTGACTGTCGATCCTGGCTTGCATCTTGATTCACAACTGACTTTTCCGTCCTCGCGCCGGCAGTACCAATTATGAACCCGTCAGCCTTGAATGTGACTTCCCCGTTGACTCTCGGACAGCCTTGAAGAATCCTGACTGTACCAGATGACTTTCCCAATGACTTGTCGCAGGTCATCGGCTTCAGTGCAGTAGAGAGTACTCTTGGAAGATCAGCTGACGCAATGAGAAAGCCCACGTGGGTCGAGTTCTGTGATGAGAAATACCACACATCAACACGCAAGTGAGTGCGTATTGTCATGCAAGTGCTGTGCAAGTGCAAGCTTGGCATACTTTCTTCTTCCTTGGTGAATGAGTGCATGCCTACATGCGCTCGGAGTGCGCATCTCTTTGCTTTACTGCATCGCAAGTGTCGTGCAAGTGCAAGCTTGAAAACGTTTTTCTTCCTTGGTGGGTGAGTGCATGCCTACATGCTTTCGGAGTGCGCATCTCTCTGCCTTACTGCATCGCTTGCTTGCAGCGTTTTGTTTGTACAGAAATGAAGCTGGTGGAGCGAACTGTGGTTTCTGGTGGTCTGGTAAAGCATTGGAGCTGCTGGTGGTGGAGCTTTGGTTTTTGGTGGTCTGGTGGCGATCGGGACAAGTGGCTGCGCATTGTCATGCAAGTGCTGTGCAAGTGAGTGCATCGTCATGCATGCGCTGTGTACGTGAGTGCTTCCTGTCAATAATTAAGTCCGAAAGAGCATGTGTATGTCAAGCGGTGTTTCGAACGGATGCAATGAGCCCGGGAGGGCTTGTGTGTGCCCACCCCTGTTTCGAAGGGTAAGTAAATCTGAGTCGAATGAGCAGGGGGCCGGTGCTCTCCCTGGGGGTCACCGGCCAACGAAGACACCCCCAGGGAGCTGTGAAAACGTACTTGCAAATCAGTAACCTTAGAGTGCGACTTCCTTGAGAGTGAATGCTGAGCTGACTTACCCAGTTGACTTTCTGATCTGATGTCAGACCTGCGACAAATTGTGTCATGTGTGTGTGTGAACCTCCCTAGCACATGGGAGCAGAGGGTCACTCCCACAACGTCGTGTTCAACCATCAATGAGGGTTTGTGGAGGAGCTCCGCCCAACGAAGCTCTCCTCCACAACCCAGGAAAACGTACCTGCATTGGTCTGCGCCTGGGCCCCGTTGTGGGCAGCTGGCGGGACCATCCTCATGTTTCGTGCATCTTTCATTTCATTTCGTGCTACATCATTCCTTTGTGTCTGGCGCAGCAAGGCGCCGAAACCTCACCCTCATTTCACCTTGTTTTCGTATGCCGTTCCTTCGGCCTGGCATACTTGGCACAAAATTCTCATCTCATTCTCGTTATCATCATCATCATCATCATCATCAACTCCACCATGTTCCATTACAACATACAACACTCTTTTCTCCTGACCTCTCCGTTTCTCTTCTCTTCTGCCGAATCTATCAGTGTGTACCAGCGTGGGTCGAAAAGACTCCGGAGCAGCGGCTTTCCGTCAAGGCACCGTGGTGACCCTTCGTGGGAGACCGGTGATGAACAGGATATGTGCAGATTCCCGTTCAGACGACCAGCTCTCCCAATGCTACTTTATCTGTCTTTCTCTGATGGCGGTCTGCAGATAACGGCATGCGAGTCTGACATGAGTGCAGGTGTGGTAACCGGCTGGCTGCAAGTGCACAGGATTACCTCGCTATTTTGCCGTCCCGATTCTTTCGCTTCTTTCTCAGGGAATGCAAGTGCATGCGCGTCTGACATGAGTGCAGATGCAAGTGATTGCAGCTTCCTCCGGGAAGTAATCGGCTAAGTCTTTCTCCTTCTCCCTGCATCTCATTCCCCCCAGGCCCATAATACTATTTGAGGCCCTCGATGGATGCGGGACCTCCAGTGCCATTGCTCCTGGGTGCGTTTGTGCACAGTTGGAGGATGTCCCGCCGAGAATGGAAAACCCTAATCCTGCTACTGGCCTTGGACCCTGCCCGGGTAGCTGGGCAGTAGTCACTCCGTTCCTGGGTCTTTGCTGGCAGCTGGAAGGAGTGTACTAACCCCGAACCCGTCTTGACAACAAACAGCAGTTACGAGGCTTTAAAACACATGTCAAAAACTGAGAGCCCTGGACCCCTTGGAGGGTAGCTGGGTAGCAGTTCCCTTTTCCCATTACTGTCGCCTTTGCTGAGGGACAGTCCTTATAATTCCTTTCCTCAGGCTGGATCTGGGCCCTTGCAACGGCAGCTGATCAGCCCACCTGCCCCTTTTGTCGCTTCTGGGGGCTTTTGTGCCCAGCTGAAGGACAGTCCCGAACCCTCAAACAAACTGCACTACAGCGGGACTACCCCTGCATTGCTGCTTTGTGGACTACGTCGTCAAGCTCTACGATTGGGCATGGCAGCCCACAGGGTTTTATGGCTTAGTTTTTGGGTTCTGTTTAGGTTTTGGAGCCCTGGCGCGGCTTTATTCCTTTCGCCCCAACGTGGGGCTGTGTGTGTGTGAACCTCCCTAGCACATGGGAGCAGAGGGTCACTCCTGCAACGTCGTGTTCAACCATCAATGCAGGGGGGGCGGAGGGTTTGTGGAGGAGCTTTTCCCAACGAAGCTCTCCTCCACAACCCAGGAAAACGTACCTGCATTGGTCTGCGCCTGGGCCCCGTTGTGGGCAGCTGGCGGGACCATCCTCATGTTTCGTGCATCTTTCATTTCATTTCGTGCTACATCATTCCTTTGTGTCTGGCGCAGCAAGGCGCCGAAACCTCACCCTCATTTCACCTTGTTTTCGTATGCCGTTCCTTCGGCCTGGCATACTTGGCACAAAATTCTCATCTCATTCTCGTTGTCATCATCATCATCATCAACTCCACCATGTCCCATTACAACATACAACACTCTTTTCTCCTGACCTCTCCTTTTCTTTTCTCTTCTGCCGAATCTAACAGTGTGAATGTGTGGGTGCGTGGGTGTGGGTGTGGGTGCGGCTGCGGCTGCGGTCGGGGGGGGGGGGGGGGGGGAGGGGGCGGGCCGGGGGGGGGGGGTGGCTGGCTGCCGGGCTGGGTTGGTTTGAGTGACCGAGCGAGCGAGGGAGTTTGCTTGTTGGCTTGTGTCGGCTTGTTTTTACATGTATTCGCGTCTATCTGAACGTGAGGGGCGCGGTGGGTAAATAGTGTTCGAGAATGCTGGGTCGGAGCTGGTGCGTGACCGCGCAGGCATTGCATTGTGCCCGCACCTGTCGGCATGTCTGGCTGTCAGAGCACGGCTTGATCCAGGTCCGGCCTTTTCAGCGGCATCGCCATCTCGTCCAGGATCATGCAAGTTCCTAGCAAACTGCGATGCCACTCAGAATGAACACGATCATCATTGGGGGTGAGTGAAAGGCGGGAAATCTGCGAGTGTGAAGAAGAAGCGTGAAGCTGGCCTCTGCAGATGCCACTATGCAGGGCCAAATAGAACGAAGACTCCTTGTGGGACGTGCCAAGCTCCTTCGTACCGAAATCCGAGAGGGGGAGGGTCGGGGAGGTGCGCTATCAAAATTCAGGTGGCCAGTGCTCCTCCATGATCTGGTACTGGTTGTTGGAGAACGTACCTGAGCCCAGTCTTGCGGCCGCTTTAGCTCCGAAGTCTCAGGACCGAAGGCTGGGCTTCTCACATATCCAGTAGCTGGTGGCTCCCCATACAGCCGGATCAAGCGTTTCACAGACAGCTTTTGAATGGCGTTGCAGAGCCAGGCAATAAACTTGGAAGCGTGTTCCCCACCAGTGGCTCACCTGGTGGACAACTCACGCACTCGCACAACGGTGATGCTGCGAAGTGCGACAAAGCTGGAACGAAGAGGCCATCGTTCTGCACACGAATTATGCGGACTACACGCTCTTCTGCTCATTTCAGCTCCATTGCATCGGAGAAGCAAACCACTGCACCTGTTGCGGGCCGACCTTAGCTGGCAGCAAAGCTCTTGTCGCTTCAACTATGCTCCAGAAGATTTCTTGCGGAACGGCGAGATGATTGGTACGGAAGGCTTCATCGCTGGAGCATCTGAGGAGGACGAAGATGATGTTGGTGCTCCTACTCGTGCTACAGACGAGCATGACAGCTCGAAGCCTTAGTCGGAAACGCCGAAACACCCCTTGAAACTTCCTGAAGAATGGAAGCCACAAAGACCAAGCGCTCCCCTCCCACCGCCGGAATGAAAAGACGAATCGGGCACAAATCACGTGAAAGGCATTTGTATATACAGGAACGGCACCGAATAATCAAGCGCCGAAACAACAGAGCAACCACTGAGTAGGTGTAAGTTATGGCTTTGAGTGCATCGAAAATGCACCAGCAAGGCGAAATTATGGCGAAGTCGTAGACTCGCGCACCGCAATTTCAGTGACTACCAGGAATGTTATGAGCATATATATATATATATATATATACACGAACATTTGTACACATAGTGTGCTATATTATATTACCTTATATATATATATATATATATATATATCCGTACATATGTGTAACATGTAAAGATATATATATATATATATATATATATATGCACATAGAGTTCAGTCCCCCTGCGACAACATCGGAAGCATGTGCACAGCAAGATACGACAGGCCGTGGACGAAGGGGCGATTCGGCAGAGTTGCCAACGAACACAAAGTATAACTAATCATAAGAACAGTAAGTAGAAAATAGCAAAAAAGAGAATATAAAGAATACTGACAAATAATGACATTGACACGAATAGTTATGGTTTTTAAATAGCAATACTAATAATCGGAAATTCAGAGTTGATGTTGTAGTTGGAAACAAAAACATGCACGCATGCGCACCAAACGTGCGACCAACTGACTATAGAAATCCACACACAACCAGTCGAAATATACAAAACCACTGAAAATAGTGGGTTGCCAAAACGCGGGCCCCACAGCCTCCTCTTCTATATATATATATATATATATATATGGTATATTACTATCGTAATATACTAATATATTAATACATTAATATATTAATCTATTAATGTATTATTGTATTAATGTATTAATACATTAATATATCCACACACTCGTTTTGAGGGTTGGATCCTTGGGGGCTGGATCAGGGGGGTTTGAAGGCCAAAACCAATTTCCTCAATAGTGCAGTTCAATATACCGATTTAAGGTTTCAAGCTGTTGTAGTATTAGCTTATTTATGTATTTTATTAGGAATTTCAGTGCCGGGGGCACGGCCGTTGACCAAAACATTTTAAAGCACACTGGGAAGCCAGCGTGAGGAAACCCTTTTTTGCCAAACATTTTTGCATTTGTCCAAGCCGGATGTATTGAGCGATGGTGTTCGCTTCTGTCCAAGCCGGATGTGTTGGAAGCTGAAACGTGGTCCTTTGTCACGTGCCACTGCTTGGTTGGCTTGGTTGCTTGGTTGGCTTGCTTGGCTTGCTTGGCTTGCTTGGCTTGGTTCGACTCGCCCTACCCATCCTGCACGCCCAAGCTCAGAGTGGTCTTAGAGACCGCTCCAGTCGGGCTCGGACCACGTGAGCAATGGGTCCTTGATCCGTGTGGGACAGCGTCGCTGGCCGGGCGCTGGGGATTTACTCTGTGTGCTGCTCGCCTGTCCAGCCAGGTGGTGTGTCCGCCGCGGGGTGAAATGCACACAGATTGCAGGGAAGGCCTCGCTACTATTAATAAATACTATGCCACGTACCCACACCACGGTCGAAGTATTAACTTCGATCACTGCTGCTTGCCGGCATGGCCCCGCATGGCATCTTATGCTGTGCCTCATTGACAGGTCTTCAGTAACCGGCGCGTTGCGCAGCGATTCCGGTGCACTCGATGACGAGCATGACCTGTCCTCTTGCGGGCCGGTATGCAAGGCAATCGGATTTCAGCGCTCCGCATAGGGCAAAGACGGCGCATACTCAGCAGGGTGACCCCATCTTGGCCGAATGGGGGTGGCATTTAAAGAAGTCTCCAGTCCGCATGACTGTCAGAGCACACTCGTGTTTGCAAAGACGCTGGGGAGGCCGTTACTGTGTCGGCATGGCATTGCTTGGCTTGGTTGATTCGATTCTGCAGTGGCATCAATTCTGGTAGCATCAATCAATTGTGGTAGTCAGCATGGCATTGCTTGGCTTGGTTGATTCGATGCTGCAGTGGCATCAATTCTGGTAGCATCAATCAATGTCAATGGTGGTAGTCAGCATGGCATTGCATGGCTTGATTGCTTCGATTGTTGCGGTGGCATCTGATTCGATTTTGCGGTGGCATCAATTCTGATACCATCAGTTCTGGTAGCAGCAACTGTGGTAGTCAGCATGGCATTGCTTGGCTTGGTTGATTCGATTTTGCAGTGGCATCAATTCTGGTAGCATCAGTTCTGGTAGCATCAACTTGTCAATTGTGGTAGCAACAATTGTGGTAGCGCTAATTGTGGTAGCATGATTTGCGGTAGTATAACTATTGTGGTAGCATCAATGGCAAGGTCTGCCTGGCATGTTTTGACAGAGCCGGGGGGGGGGCAGGGCTGGCATGAAATTTGCATTTTGCCAGGTGAAGTCGTTTCAGAAGGCATGTGAGTGATATTTGCGCGGAAGGCTCAGTGAGTGTGTGTGTGTGTGTGTGTGTGTGTGTCAGCTTGCTTGGTGATTGATTGTGAGCCCCTTGTAACCTAATGCTGCAGTTCTGGCTCAAGTGGTCTGCCTGGCATGTTTTGACAGAGCCGGGGGGGGGGCAGGGCTGGCATGAAATTTGCATTTTGCCAGGTGAAGTCGTTTCAGAAGGCATGTGAGTGATATTTGCGCGGAAGGCTCAGTGAGTGTGTGTGTGTGTGTGTGTCAGCTTGCTTGGTGATTGATTGTGAGCCCCTTGTAACCTAATGCTGCAGTTCTGGCTCAAGTTGTGCTATGTCGAGTGTGGCCCTCCAGCATCTCCCTGAGGAATTGTGTCTCGAGGAGCAGGGCCAGGATCTCCGGAAAGCACAGCAAGCAATCTACTTGCTCTATTTGCTCTGCCCGAGAAAGGCTGTTGATCTTGTGACACCTGCAGTACATTTCAGACAATTTCCAATTGAGAATAATTTGCTACCTGACATGTCATTGTTTCAATGCAACAACATTTGAGGAGAGCTTTCAAACGGGGAAGAGACGGCATCCAGAAACCAGAAGCCTGGATTCTGTCAGCCTGTAACAAGAACGTTAGAGAGCACTTTGGCAAAGATTGATGCAGCCCTTTTTTTTGGCGCTTAAACTTTCATCATTACAATTCCGTGTTCATTCGAGGCACAATCAAAGCTTGGGGATAGCATACAGCCAATTCGATGTCGGGAACTACGGCAGCAAGAAAGCCGCAGACGCCTCAACGAAAAGTTCCGGTGACTTGGGGCGGGGCAAAGGAAAAGAAGAAGACGACTCGGACGATTGGGGACGGTGGAGACCACGAACCGGCTATTGATGCTACTGATGACGATGTGAGGTCAGTTTTGGTGGGCGGCAAAACCTACGTTTGGCCGAAGAGAGTGGTGATCGTTGGTTATGGGGTTGCCGCCCATGGAAATCGTCCATCACCTCAGATGGCAGACTTGTTGGAGAAGTTGGACAGGGAAAGTAACTTTTCTAACAAATGGGAGGTTCGCTTGCAGGTGCAAATGCACGTGTCGAAGCTTCATGACATTTGTACATTTTTCATTCATTTCAGTTTCACTCAATTGACAATTGAGGGCAGTGACAGTGACAGTCATGGATGGAAGCCAAGGGAGGCCCAAGGAGGAAGGTTTGGCAGAGAATGTGGCCTATACCAGCATATCATGGAACAGGTGCCTGGTCGAACAGGTGTTGCTTCATGAATCGAGTTGTATAATAATTAATTTTAATTTTAATAAGAATTCACCCTAATGACCGAGGTGTATAGTCATCCCGCAGCGCTCAAGACGCTCCACTTCATCCTCAATTTTCCCGACAAGTTGCTCAGGCTTCTCGAGTCTTTGAATGCTGAAGGTCTTGGAGGTTTTTTTTAGGTTCAGGGACTAGGATAATTATAACCCTCCTATGTGGTCCTTCAATTGTCAGGATCTGCTGTTCGGCGGGATGGCACAGGACGTGTGCCATGATTGCGTTGGTCATGGCTCTCTTCCAAGTCGCTGTGCTGAACTGACTCATTGGTCCAGGTGACACTCAATTGTCTAGTTTTTGTAAGTATATCAGCTGTCAGTGCAGGTCTGTGGCATCGAATGCGTCGCATGGTTGGACACTTTAGTCCAGAAGCACAGAAAGGAAGATTACAGAGCCATCGCTGCCGATCAACAGCACATTATCGACTTCGCC